CCCAACTCCAACAGCACTGGCTTCAACGCCATCGCCGCCTTGGACGCAATCACACGTCCCACCTGCGTCGACCCCGTGAAATTGCACTTCTTCACAGCCGGATGCTGAATCATACACTCATAGATCTCCGCTGCGTCCTGCGGCCGATGCAGAACAAAGTTCACCACTCCGGGTGGGAACCCTGCCTCTCTGAACAGCGCAGCGAGAAAGTAATGCGTTTGGGGACTCAATTCGGAACCCTACTCTTGTCAGCGACCAATTATCCCTCCCAGTGGATTAAGATATAGTGACAACACTCACCTTCAAAATCGCTGTATTTCCCGCCGCAACCACCGGAATAACCGACCTCAATCCCAGAATCACCGGCGCATTCCACGGCGCGATTCCCAGCACCACACCGAGCGGCTTCTTCATAACAAGCGCATACGTATTTCCCTGCGATGAAGGGATCGTGCCGCTAATAGCGTCTGTTATTACTGATGCGGTCTCCTCGACAATGCCGGCTGCTATTTCGACGTTGAGCTGGGACCAGAGTGGTGTGCAGTGGATTTCATCTTTGATGAGGGTTTGGATGGTGCTGGACTTTTCGCGGAGGAGCTTTATTATCTCTTGTTAGACGGCTTTATTTCATAATTACAATACTAGGGTGTTGAGTGGCTTACCCTAGCCAAATTGAGAAGCAGACGTCGACGTTCCTCGGGGGGTGTTTGCGACCATGTCGGGAAGGCACTTGCGCAGGATTCAACGGCTTGAACGGCGAGATCGGAGGTTGCGCCTTGGAAAGATTTTAGGTGTGGTGCGGATTTAGAAGTGATGGGGTGTTTGCGGTCATTGTTGGAGAGGAGGATATCTTTGCCGTGAATGATGAGGGGGATTGCGGTTGTGGTGACCATTTTGATATCTGGGGAAGGTGGTTGTTTGTTTCCTTGCAGGATCACTTAAGTTTCTTTTTTTTTCTGGGGGAGGGCGCCCCCTCTTCTATTTGAAGGAGACAGAGACTCCACTACCGACATTAGTAACCGTTGAAGCAACCCCCTGTCACTTCTTCAGCGTTTGGTTCGCCCGTTAGCGTCCATTGAGAGGAGTCTGCAGGTCGAGACGTTGCCGCGTATTCTATCCGGACCCGCTGTGGCATATTAGAGTTAGGGTCCTTGCGGGGTGCTATATCCGATTTCTTGCAGTTTTCTGGCTGTGTATATCCGAGATTCGCAGTGTTTGGGGAAACAGTTCGGATATACGGGCGTGGCGAGCGTTTAGTGCGGTGGGGCGGCGAGATGGACCACGGATGCCTTCTCAGATTTGGCTGCCTCAAAAGTTGGGGTATCTGATCTATTTAATGAGGGTAGTTGGCCGGATTGTGTAATAAAAGAGTTCTACTGAACTGATGATGAGTTACTGTCTTTCGCGATCTCTCGCAGTACGCAGTAGTGCCTTCAATGCACCTGCGTTTGAAAGGTGGTGACAGCACAAAATGCAGTTTGCGGAAGGCCGGCACTTGACTCCACAAACCGTGGGCCTTGAGCCCGGCTTTAGATCGATGTCCGGGGTTATCTCCGCTGTGTATCGGAGATCTTGATCGTATTCCGTGAATGTCAGGAGCAGGCAAACAATGTGGTATCCATAGCTTATTGATTGACCCACCTGTCAGTGCACAGAGGTACCTGATACCTTACATCAGTATGAGGGATCCTCAGTGACCCGAATCTGATGTTTAGGTCCGAATGTAGACATGACCACTTATGAAGAGTGGACGTGATGCCGCGATGGTAGATTTCAGCAATGAGGGCTAAAATGTCATGTTGTACAACCGCGGGATTGCGAGTCAAGAGACACTCTTCATACTCTTACTTTTATGTTAGCCTCCCAATAGTCGAGTGGTTGTCCACATTCGCACTATGTATCCCACCCAGCTCCATAGTAGCACGGGTACGAATCCCCTTGAGGGATTTGTTTTTTGGATGCCTTTTTATTTTTGTTTTAGCTTACCATAGATCGTGTACATGTTCTTTTCATGATTTTTCTTCTTGTTGTCACTCGTAATAATTGACTTAATCTCAGATAAATTGACATCCTTCTCTGATTTCTTGGTTTCGGGGATTATATCAGTCTCTCGGTACATATATAATTATCTAATGAATAGACGCCTGCGTAGTCATTTAGAGTTCAGTCTGGCCCCAGCGCTTGAAACCAGGCTTCAGTGAATGTGTTTGGAGAATATATTTTCTTTGACTGTATACCATAAGAAAATATTTTTTCAAATGCCACAGAGTTAAGAGAAACTACCTCTACTCCCCCCCTGCGATATTGACTGCGGAATATGATGTATGATAGCTACTGTAAATAACCGGTTTTAGCTGGAAACAAGTGCTGCGTTCTAGCAGCCTGGAGGACTTCATCAACCTAGGCCTCCTGAGAAATTGTACTCCAGGGTTTCGATGGCAGGTTAAATCCAATTCCCCCTGTAGCTCCCGTCCTACTGGGTACTCATCAGCAATACATAAGCATCCCTTGTGATCGATTTCTCAACTGAATTCTTCATAATCGACCTTCAAAAAACCGCTTTCCATGTAACAGCAGACACTAGCAATTCGGCAAGCCTTATCCAACTACAGTCGTCTGCATGTGATATCACAACATCAACTCAGTTCTGACAAGCAAGTTTATTATTGACCTCCAGATATGGCAACCTACACGGATGGACCTTAGGGGAAAGACACTCTGATATGGATAAGGTTCTGCTCCAAAGCCTGGGTCCTACATTGGATTAGCAAATTTATTTCTAGTAGTACTGGCGTAAGGCTGATTTTGAATTAGTTCATCATCGCATAGCTGTCAACAATGAACACCTTCTCGCTCACGCCAGCATAGAAAAAAAGTGGTCTAATAACAGGAGGAAAAGCTCGGCGAGGGGTAGCTCGGCGAGGGGTTATGAACACAGGAACAAATCTGGTTCCAGATATAATCAGCACCATGGGGCGAACTGTATGACTAAATCCATGCAAAATGAAGTAATGTTGCGATTGGTAAGTGATGAAGGAGTTTGCAGCATACTCATAGTATAATGAACAGGGTTCATGTTTCTTCATTTATTCAATAATGCCGATAACGGCACTGACCAGCTGCGAGACGTCACCAAACTAGGGAAAGATTTGCCTCATAGCCATTCGACAGGCTGGGATATCCCTGACGAGGGAATCATAAGATGACTCCCCAAGCGTGGTGTTTTCGTTATGGACCGTCACTACACAAAGGATGATAGACAGTACATGTAGGTAGCATACTAGTCAGTGTGATGATTTTTGTATTCGACCAGATGAACAAACAAAGCATCTTTCCAGTATATTTGGCTTTTTATGTACTCTTTGTTTGATTCCTTATACCGTATGCGTGTTGAGCTTCGGGTTGAGGGGTCGGAGCATAGGATCACAAACAGCACGTGCCTTAACATATGCGGCATATATTTAGAAGAGGATATGTATCCGCAGTTGGTCTGCGATATTGGCCGCGGTGAACCTTCAAGCTAGATGTGTAACATCCAGCCAGTCAAATTCTGTTACGAACATCTTTCTGCTTTCCAACTCGATAATACCTTCCGTTCTCGACATGGTTAAGGTGCGTGTAGTTAGACTTCGTCGTACAGTCCACCCTAGTACCCAGTTCAGCATCCCAAAAACTTATCTGGCACACGTTGAGTGGGCAGTATATCAACTAGAGAAACACTAGGTTCGTTTGGTAGTCAGTGAGAGTTTTGATAAATCCCGCATCGGACACGATCGAGGTTGCTTGTGGGTTAAGGTGAAATTTCGAATTGCTCCATCATCTCCACAAGACGTTTCAAAGATATACATCTGCCTGGTACCGAAGCCCCAGCAAACTAGACGATGGATAACCTATCAATACCACTCCAGTAGTACCGGAGTATGGAACAAGATCGTGTCGAGTCACTATCAGCAAATTTATTGTGCTTTGCACTACGGCTTGTCTGTTAGTACCATTGGGTGTTATTTAAGCGTAGATCTTGAAGTTATGATAACCTATGAAGGAGCACCCGAGAAGTGTGGTTTGGGTGCTGATTAATATCACATCATTACTGTACAGGGCAACAGAAAATTCTGTGACAGTTTTGCCACCGATGTACCAAACTTCCACTGACAATGCTTCCATACGGAATCATCGCACAGTGCGGGATCTGAAAATCAGGAGCACAACAACCAGTATTAGGCATCCACGAGGTAATGAGGATGTTGGGCAAGGTTGCTTGAGTGATGTACGCATCATATGCTCGGCGTCTTCTTGGTCGCATCAACCGACACGAAAAGGCAGGTTCGATATTGGGCATGAATGATCATCATGAAGAGATCGTATGGGTTTCTAAATGGGGTAAACTGCAACGTCGGTGGAGCCACCACAAGGTTGAAACTTTGCTGCGATCGTGGTGATGATGATGATGAGACGGAGGACGATGACAGGGAACAAGCGGTGTCTCCTGATTGTCCCTGTCCCTGTTCCTTGGCCTCATACGTGGTTTCTATCGTCTTCAAGTCCGTGGTTCTTCTTCCACGAATGACGTAGGGAGAGAGAGATATTGGATGGTTGTATTCAACAGAAACCGTGCAGAAATCACCAGAACTGAATGGCACTAGCCCACTTCCGGCGCTGGCTCCGAGGGCGGTGCAACGGGTGGAGACCCAACAAGGTTAGACTTATTTGCAGTATGCATATTTTTCTGCGCTAGTCCCGGTGTGGCAAGGTCGAACTCAAAAATGAGAACGGAAACGGAAGCCCAGCAATAGTTTCCCAAAAAATTTTAACGGGCAAAAAGAGATGACCAGACTGGGGCTCGATCCCAGGACCTTATCGGTGTTAACGATACGTGATAACCAACTACACCATCCGGCCAACTGTTGATATTTGCTTTTGCTAATCGGAGATTATGTTCCCCCGGTCATTGTGAAGGATCTCACCACTGCGGCTTCTGGCTGCTCTCTTCTCCTCACACCATGGCTTCATTACAGGTTTCGGGATCCATCAATCAACGTTACTATGAGATCGTCTCCTACATCAGGCCACTCATGCTCGCCATGGACAACAACCTCAGATGCCGGTTTACCCCTATTATGACATATCTCCAAGCCACTGTCTACTCCATGTCCGAGCCGGTTGCAATAGTTCGGCATCCTTCGCGACGGCAACTGCCCCCGTCTTATGCACGGCATACACGGCATGCCGTCACGATGCTGACCGGTGTCTGACTCGGAAGAACTCGGCGCCTCACACCTCAGTGGCTCAACCATCTGCATCCTCACTTCTCCATCCCGACCCGAATATCCTGGCAGCTATTCGGCGCTGTGGAGCTCTGATCCCATACGTGTCAGTTGCCAAACAATCAGCGCAGCAAAACTTACCCGGCTAGCATTGCCTGTCAGAGTTGTGAAGCGCGAATAACACGAGTTTAGGCTAAACGTCTGCCGGAAAAAGGGTGAGATTGACGCTATAGTCTGGCACTATCAGCTCTACGCGAGGCGCGAGACACGCATCCAGAGTGGTCCAGGTGCAGCTCCTGGCAGGTCAGCCGGCTTGGTCGGCACAGTCCAAGCTGGTTCGTACACTGCTCATGACTAAATGCTTTGCACTGGTGGGCCCCGAGGATTTCTGTAGACTACGAGGTTTCAGTTGAACCGGAATTGATTAATTTCGCCAAAGGTTCTGGAATCCTACAAGGATATCTAGCTCAACCCCGGCGAACACCCATATAAGGATTGACAGTCTGGAGTCTGGAGGCGGGCTAAGTTTGTTGATAATCCTGGAGAAGACACACGATCATTCCCGGTCTGACCCTTGACACTGGGGATAGTCGGCGTGGTGCGCAAACATGAGACACGGCGTGCATACGACTTGCTGCAACTGCTTCCCGGTTTAGCTGCGGTGAGGTCTTTTCCCCGAGGTCAACCCGAGACCGTCTCCGAAAAGCGTGGGATGGACCCAGTGAGTGGCAAGGCTCCGAGTCGGCCCGACGGCTGACTTGCCTTTCTCGGGATGCCGACTGGTCGACGGTTGGCTTAGGGTTGGCCGATGATCCAAGTTATGGATCTGATCTCGGGCGAGTTCCGAGGATCACCCATCCCTCCCGCAATAAGGGGTATGGGCATGAAAGCTGTCTGTACAGTGTAAGAGGAGATATCAGTGTTAAAGAAACTTTTGGGAACAGTTCTCCAACGCAGATTGAATCGCCTGCAGAAATTTTCTCTCCGAAAGATGAAAAATCTGATCCGACAAGGAACAGGCAGGTGATGGACAAGTTTCCCCGAGGTTTCTCAGACCCCAAATCAACCGATCCAGAATGGATCGACCGCAGAGTTTGCGACCCACTTGAACCACAATATGATGCCTGGATGGCGGAGGCAGGACAATTGGACAACAACCGTCCACAAGCCTAGCCCTGGCCAGCATCATTCGTGCAGGGCAGTCAGACTTCTCCAGCCTCGGGGCCACCGTCCAGTTTCCACCCCGACTTTATGACGCACCCCAGAAGGATATCGAAGCATCGCTTATGCGCAGGTGGACCGACAGGAGGGAAAAACCGGAGTCTACACCCACGGGCTTGAACCGGCTTGCGGGCTTGCCCCCTTCCCCCGTGTTTTTGTTTTATATTTCCCCCATCTCCCGCAATTCTTGACCCTTTTTACTTCCTCTCTCACTCCTCCTTCTCCCTTTCCTCCCTCCCCTCCTCCTCTTCTTCAACATGGACAAAATGGACAAGTCCCAACCCGCCCTCTCTACCCATACGGAGAATGCCTCCCCCGGCCCCTCCAGCGTGACTGCTTCAACGGCGTCGGGTCGCGTGGCCGGTGGGAAGTACCTCGAGGGTGTCAACGAGAGCTCGGCCCAAGATGGCCCCCTCCAAACCGTTGACTTCGACCTTCCCGTGACCCTCACCCAACGCATGGTTCAGGACGGCAACCAATACATCGTCCTCGACTTCGTCCCGGGAGACAAGGAGAACCCTTTCAACTGGGACCCCAAGTACAAGGCTTTCATCAGCGCCCTTCTCTGTCTCATGACCCTCTTCATCGGTCTTGCCACAACAGCCTACAGCTCCGGTATCAGCGACATGGCCTCCGACCTGGGCACCTCCGAAGAAATTGCGGAACTCGGTCTCTTCCTCTTCAACTTCACCTGTGCCTTGGCTCCTCTCTTCCTGGCCCCCTTCTGTGAGCTGGCTGGCCGTCGTGTCGTCTACACCGGCGCCTACTTCTGCTTCGCCATTATGTTTATCGGTCTCGCCCTGGGCAAGAACATCGGCACCATCCTCGTCTGCCGTGCCCTGCTCGGTCTGTTCGGTTGTGTCGGTACCATCCTGGTCGGTGGAACCTTCGGTGATATGTACCGCCCGGAGGACCGCGCCATCCCCGTTGCAACCTTCTCTTTCATCGCCATCTTCGGTACCGTCGGTGCCCCCATCTACGCCGGCTTCATTGACCAGGCTCTGGGCTGGCGCTGGGTTGAGGGTATCCAGGGTCTCGCCAACATTCCCCTCGGCCTCGTCATCCTCTTCTTCCTCCCCGAAACCCGTGGTAGCGTTGCCCTTGGCAAGCGCGCTAAGGCTCTCCGCACTCACACCGGTGACGACCGCTATGTGACCGAGAACGACCTGGAAGCCCCCTCCCTCAAGACCATGCTTCACAACTCCTCCGTCAAGGCCATCAAGATGCTGGCCACCGAACCCGTCGTCTTCGCCTTCGGTCTCTGGATCGCCTTCGCCTGGTTCCTTACCTTCCTCTTCCTCAGCGTCATCCCCATCACCTTCCAAGAAAAGAAGGGCTGGAACGAGGGTGTCTCCGGCCTCCCCTACATCGCCCTCTGCTTGGGTACCACCATGGGCTTCGGTCTCAACTTCTTCCAGATCCGCAAGTACGAGTCTCTTGTTAAGATCGGTGAGGCTCGCCCCGAGGCTCGTCTCTACGGTGCCCTCTACGGCGCTGTTTGGCTCCCCATCGGTCTCTTCATCTACTCCTTCACCCAGTACGCCGACCTGCCCTGGATCGCTCCCGTCATTGCCCTGGTCCTCATCGCCATCGGTATCTTCTTCATCTTCGAGTCCTGCTACAGCTTCACCTCCGATTGCTACGGTGAGAGCTCATCCTCTGCTATCGCCGGTCAGGGTTTCATGCGTAACACCCTGGGTGCGGTGTCCCCTCTGTTTGCCTCCCAGTTCTTCCACAACGTCGGCTCTCAGTATGCCGGTCTGATCCTGGCTCTGATTGCCTCTGCCTTGACCCTGATTCCCTACGTGCTGTTCTGGTACGGACCTCAGCTCCGGGCTAGGAGTAAGCTCGCTAGTCTTGTTGTGCATGGCGATAGCGAGAAGAAGGGCCACAACGACTCTGCTGGTCAGGGTGTGTAAATGTCTTACGTCCCTCTCCCCTTGATCTATGGTCGATCTGTCTGTCCCCGGTTCGGATGGATAGATAATACTATTGATGTGTATATATGAGATTGTCGGGTGTTATGATTGACCAAGTATATATGTTACCCACTTTGAAACAAAAAAGAATTTTCATGAACATATTCATGACTGTTGCCTTCACTGTAAATAAAGTAGATCAAAATGAACCAAGGGTATCTAGACATTATCATATGTAGAGATCTCATAGAGAATCCTTTGCCTGCACAACCAACACGTCCCCACCACCCATTTTGACAAGCTTCTCTCCCAGCAGCCCCAGAACTCCTCTCCCCCCATCCTTATCTTCATCTCCATCATTCCCCATTGTATCCACCCCCACGCTACCCCTCCCCACAACAACCAACCCACCAGCCCGTTGGCCAGACCCTAATCTCCCCAGTTCCCCCTTGACATGCTCAACCACCCTCTCCACCACCCCACTACTACTGTCCTCGATCCCACCAGCAAGAACCAATTTCTTGAACACCATCCGCGCCCCCACCTGCTCATCCAACGAATCCTTCAACGCAGCAAGATACACCGCATCCGAATCATCGACATCACGCTTCTTACCACCAACACCACCATCACCACCACTACTACTAGTACTACCACCATCCTTCTTCCTATTCCTCACCCCTCCCAAAACACCAGCAGCAACAGCAGCCTTCGGCGCCGCAACCCCACCCCCACCAGTAACCACATGCACGACCGTCGCCGTAACCTGATCATTCCTAATCAGCTGCAGAACCAACCTAACCGCGAAGCGATCATCCTTGCCCCCGAAATACGGGAACAGGATATGATGCGCCTTCCTGGTCGTCGGCACCACCGCAAGATCCCTATCACCACCAATCCCTCCACCCAGATTCAAATTCCCACTATGTATACTCAACCCCCCAAGCGAGGGCTTATCGCGCAGCCCACGCCCATTATTCCTTATCCTCGGCGTCCTCTCAACCAACAACCCCACATTACACCGTACATTGCGCAACACACTCTCCGCGAACGCCGTATACGGCGCGGAAGCCACAAAGCGGGTAGCGATCGGGTCATCAAGAACGGAACTAAGATCCAATGAATGATGTTCAGACATGGACCCCGTTTCGCTCCAAGGGAGGAGAAGCAGATCCGTCGAGTCGTCGCGGGCCATGCTAACCACTGTATCTGCGTAAGAGTGTTCGGGTACGACGGAGACGCCGGCAACGATGGAGAGATCGTGCCACTGGCCGAAGGCGCGGAAGGTGTTGACCACTGGGTCCCAGAGGGGGTAGTGGAGGTGGTCGAGTTCGGAGACGGTCATGACGCTGGAGTCGCGGTCTGTGAGTTCGAGGAGGCGGACTCCGTGGACTTGGAGGGTGGGTTTGGGGTCTTGGTCTTCGTCTTGGTCTTCTTCTTCGGTTTTCTTGGTGGCAGTGGCTGTTTCTTCTGCGGCGGGATCAGGTGACGCGAGGGTGTCAGGGTGTTGCTTTGGGAGAGCTGGTCTATTCGGGGAGAGGAGCGCGGCGAGGGTACAGATGCTGGAGAGACCATCGAGGCGGAGGTAGACGAGGAGTTTGCGGACGGGGAGAGCGCGCTGCTGTTCTTTGGCGAGGGCGATGCTGTCGGTGCGGGCGTCGGAGGGAACGGGGTTGCCGGTCTTCCAGTCAATTTCGCCGCGGCGCCAGCGCTCGACTTTGACTTGGTACCATTTTGGGTAAAGGGCGACGGTGAGAGGGGTGGTGGCGAAGGTGGTTACTAGGGCCATGACGACGAACATGGTGAAAGTACGGGTGCTGAGGATACGGGCTTGAAGGCCAATGTTCTGGTAGGGTTAGTGGAAGTTGGTACAGAGAGCAGGAAGGAGCATACCAAGACAATCAGCTCCACGAGACCCTTGCAGCTCATGAGCACACCAATGGAGAAGCTCTCGCGCCAGAGGAGGCCGCAGAGTCGCGAGGCGATCGCACCGCCGGCTACTTTGGCCGTAAAAGCGATGGCGATGATGCCGACCACGTAGCCCCAGACGGTGCCGGTGTCGAGCAGTCCCAGGTCGGTTTGGAGCCCGGAGAGAGTGAAGTAGAGTGGGAGGAAGAGCGCAGCGACGAGATCCTCAATCTTCTCGGTTAGCTTAATGGCAAAACCGCCTTCGTGGGGACACAGCAGGCCGATGATGAAGCCGCCGAAAATGGCGTGGATGCCGATGATCTGGGTGAAGAAGGCGGAGGCCAGTGCGATGAGCAGCGTGATTGCGACCACAGACTGACTGGGTCCTTTCTGTAGACTGCCCGTCTGGCGGAGGAAGCGCAGAAACAGTGGTCGAAAGATGAAGGTGAGGAAGAGGATATAACCCACGCAGACGAGCAAGACCCAGAGTGCGGTTAACCCAGTGCCTGCGTTGACGAGGGCAACACACAGAGCGAGCAGGATCCAGCCGACGACGTCGTTTCCAACGCCGGCTGAGAGCACGATGACTCCGACATTGGTTCCCAGAAGTTTGAGCTCTGTCAATATACGACACAGGACGGGGAATGCCTGACAGGTGATTAGCAAGGTAGATTATGCGTCTCATTCACGGTGGACTTACAGTGATAGC